AATAAGACCTTAATGACTTTCTATTTTTCTGTATTCTGCATGTTATTCATGGATCTAAATCCATTCTTTTAGTATTGATAATTTCATTCTAGCCAGATATTACAAAATTTAAGCAATACGAAGCAGGACATCTTCAATTGAAAAACAAACATTGTAAAAAACACAATAGATCAAGTACAGTAGCTCAGTTAAGGTGGGAGTATGGCTGAAAGAAAAACGTTCACTCGGAAATTAAATTAAATCTGTTGCTTGACTAAATAGTTGGTAGATGAGGAAGAAAACATCGTCTAGCACAGGTTAATGTTTCATTGAAGAGGTGGCTACTGTATGTTTCTCAGCAATAAATGGGCTTATCAACCTCATGACCACTGATCATGATAGAAAACAGACTTAAGCAGACTATTTTAACTTAAATATGTGTAAATATTATGCAATGCTTAATCTTTCCTGCAATATTTACACATATTTCCTTAAGGCTTTCTTATGTACTTGCAGAGCCAAAAATGAAATTTCAGAATAATAAATAAAGAAGAAACCAGGCCACAGAGGCTAAAACAAAGGATTATTTTTTAAAAAGAAGAAAAGCAAATATAATAATGTATGAATTTTATCAATGAATTAACAATTGGAGCAATTACTATGCATGCCCCACATATCAAAATAAATGATTTTATCAAAGTACATTAATACGTTCCTAAACATTAAGTCCTAGAAAAACATGCGATGAAAGTATAATAACATTAAAATGTATATGAAAAGGAACAATCCAGACTGATTTTCAGGGGCCATAAGAGTGGAATTAAAAAAAAAAAGTTAAATTAAAAGTTTTCATATGAAAGTGTAAAGGCCTTTATACTTTTGAATCACAGTGCCCTGAGGATCCAACTCTAGGGTTTTTACTTGGACTTTCTAATCCATTTCATTATGAGATTTACTGGTGTTATCAGTGGATAATTGAGTCAACTTCATAGTAAAGGAGTTAATTATGCAGTTGACTCAATTACAGCTGACCAGAATGTTTTTGGGACATTTGGTATTTGTCTCCTATACTGTAAGTCATTGAGTAAGTGTGGTGTTGTGGTTACTACTGTGGTTACCTTACAGCTGCAGGGTGCTGGGTTTAAGTCTGGCCTTAGTCACCTGTCTGTCTACAACTAGTGTGTTCTCCCTGTGTTTGAATGAATTTTCTCCTTGTACTTCAATTTATTCAGACCTTCGCAATATTTTATTTGCAGCTTTAAACTGTCCTTCCCCAAGAAGGATTTCCATTAGGGAGGGAGCTAGACACTCCCAACCACATCACTCTAGACTGTCACAGATGGGTGTTTCTGTCATGAATTGCTAATACTCTAAATCAGAACCAGCCATGGCCTGCACATGTCCTCAAATCAAGGCTTTTCTATGATTTTCCAATAAATGGGTAGGAGATGTGAGTACACATGCATATAAAAGCGAAAAAAAAGTTCTGAAATCACCTTTCGAGTCCTGTGGCTTAAGTAATACTGATATTCGACTTAGAAGATAAAAGCTTGGAGTACTTTAGTTAATGTGCATAAAAACGTGTTTTGATGTATTAATTGTCCTTGCTAAGGGATCTGTGCCATTCTCATTATATTGTCCCTCAGACATAACACCCACAGGTAAGACCCCAGACAGCATTTAGATTCTCATGATGAACCTTGGTCCTGCTGGCAAGTCATTTGGATATCATATCATTGAAAATGCAATTCCAAAATTAGAAAGCATATGTTTTCTCTGGGAACTAATGCCACCTATAGTCTTTCACATGAAGCTATGGCCTTCAGCCCATTCTGAAATATGCCCAACCTCTGCAATAAAATAATAAAATATTTTAAACCTGATTTACTCTGACGATATTCTTCTACAGTTTATTAACTAATTTCTACACCTCAGGATTTGATTATTTTTATGCTTATCCATGCCCATATTTGCATTTTTATTCTTTGTTGCCTAATATGATTACAAAATACCACACCAAAACACCACAATGCTATATGCAAATTCAGTACAGTTACACCTGTGCTATTACAGAAATTATTAAACTAAAGAAAACTTTAAATTAAAGGAAGCTTTTCCATAATAATAATTCAATTCTACCAATCTTTTGTCCTTAAGCTGCTAATTCCTGTTAATAACCCATCCTGAAACTGCAGGGTGCAAGGTGAGACTGCACCATAGATGGGATACCAGTCTATATCTATCAGTATATATGGGGGCAACATGCAAACTCCAGACCTTGGTGAACTGATCCAAGTGCTGTAAGGAGAATGCACTACCCACCTCACTGCCATCACAAAATAAAAGTCCAAAACAGAAACATATTTACAACATATTTATAAGAATACAGTAAATAAAATCCTACAAATTACAAATAATTCATATTAAAATTATGTAAATGTACTAGTAGAAACTAATGTTGCATTCCATGACACCCTTTTTTTTGAGTTTTGAGTTTTGAGCACACGAGTCTGTGGAAACAAACCAGACTCAATCTAACAACATCCCTGTGAAAATGTAATAAATACCACTTTTTGTTAGTTGGGTAGTATAATGTAAAAAAAAATAGTGAGTTAATACTACTTTAGAAGAAGGATTAAATCTATACATAGTGTCCAAGAATTAGAAAAAAAACATACCTAAATTAAAGCATAACTAGGATGTTGATATTTGTTAACAAACCTCCTCAACAACTGACAAAGCTTATACAGAATAAGTATACAGCTTCCTGACTCCTAAATTTCAGTTAGCACAGGTAAAATTCAAGAAATACTGTAATATGCACAGTCTTGGCCTAAGGTTGCACAAAAGTATTGTGAAGTGATCATTGATATGACAGAAGAGAAGAATTAAATACTTTAGGTGATTCATTTTAGAAGAAAATTCTTAACAACACTGCAAAAATCAAATGACTAAAATTTGTTGACATGGCCAATACAGACATTTGTTAAAAGGTTATTGAAAACTGAACAGCAGAGACCATGCTCTATATTGTAAATATATGTGGTATAATTAATTTTCTAAAAGCTATTCTAAGATTTTATACTTTTCATCGAATAAATGTTCTAAGCTAAAATGTATCTTCTACCTGTCTTCTCAAGCCAGGCAACCTGTCCAATTGAATGTCAAAGGCTTCTTGTCAGTAAGAGAACTTACATACAGTAAGTTCTTACATATTGTACAGTAAGACACCTGAAGAAGGCTCCACAACCGAAACGTTGTTTTCCTTCAGTTTGTAATAAACCTATTACTTGTTCCTTTACATACAGTACTATTTTCAAAACATATACAGTATAATGCTTCTATTGATAACACTGAAAATACTGATACTTAGTTTGAACAGATCCATACAGTATCTTAGAAAAAAGGGTTTTACTTTTTAATGAACCCTCAGATGCCAGTTCTAATTTTTTGGAGCTAAAAATAAGTGCGTGATTCATTGTATCACAAGTACAGCTAATCTGAATCTCATACAATTAGACCCAGCAGTTGTAAAAATCAATATTAGCATATCTAAAGAGAGGAAAATGAAGGCAAAATCTCACATCATGAAAGAGTCAAAGATTTCAGAGTTACCTGGATAGATTATAAATGTTCTGCCATTATTTTTTCATGTTAATTATTAAACTGCAAAGCCTGCTTTTTAAATATACGTGTCCGTGTGTTTATGAGGCGCACATTCAAAAATCGTATAGATCTACAGGATTCTTCAAAGAACTGGAATATTTATATATTGACATTTAGGTTATTGCGTGACGGGTGGTAATCTTCCATTTATAACAATTTTTATGCTGCGAAAGATACTATCAAGTCCTGCTACCACTTTTCATCTAGGCCAAGCTTTTCCGTATGGCCGCGTTTTTCACTACGTTAAGCTGAATAAAACAAAAAAAACTGATCCATCACCATTTTATCTTTATGCATAAGTCAATAGAAAGCATACACGGAAAATTCTGAGCTAAATTCATTTTCTACTCTACTCTTTTTGTTAAAGGTGCAGGTTTGATTATATTTCATGTTGTAAAACTAATACTCCCTACAGCCAAACTTTAATTGGCATATCTGAAACGATGTATCAAAGCATAATAATAAAAATAATAATAATAATAATAATAATAATAATAATAATAATAATAATAATAGAATACAATCCCATCCAAAACAATTGATTATTGCAAACATTATACCGTTAAAAATATTAACATATTAATATTAACATAAATGATTAATCTGTTTACATTTATGTGAAACCCATAATCGATAACCATACTCTAACTTATGTAGATGCTTCTCGCTTGAAATGGTCAAGTGGTGACACAAAGCACCGGCATTTCATTGAAGTTTCACAGGAAGTGCACACTCGTCAATTCATTTGGAAACAAAGCTGACGTTAAGCCTACTGTATCAATGTAAAAAACAGCTTTGTTTCAGAAAAGCCGTGCGCTATTCTTGAGAAAAAGAAAATCTTAGTACTCATATTTTCATCTCTTATCTACATATTTGTCTGCCAACTTAGATAAATGCCCTTTGCACTAGTGATTTTGATCAAATTCACATATAATTTAGACAAAGAAATTATAATAATCAGTCACTAACAGAAGAAATGAGTGTCAAATGAGCCTTCATTTCATATCAATATTAGGCTGTATAATCGAAAACAATATATCGGTATAACGCCTGGATGGAAATACACATCTGTAAATAAACCCTATTCTATTGTTTCCGAATACATTTTTACTACAGTGGCTCTATATCACAATGAATTCAGGATCGTGACGACTGGATTTTACAAAAATGTAGCTTTTCATACTGAAATCATCACAGTTCACATAGCGACACATCTGCACTGTCTTAAGAAAGCTCAAGAACGATCCAAGACAAAAAGCAATTACCATAAAATACACGTACATTCTTCACCTTCTTTTAAAATAGGTCACAGAGTGAACAGTATTTAATAACACCTTTATGTATTTTTTACTTACCTGGAAGGAAGATTGGCGATTAGAAAAACCCATATAATTATCTTCAGAGAGTAAACAGGCTTCGTCACCGCAGTCGAATATTTATATGTTAAATTTGGAGGAGCCATGATCACCATCTTCTTTTTTCCTCTCTTTATTGCAGATGGACGAGTCCCTTTATTTACTGTCTACCTTCTCTCTGATACATTACACACATAGCAGGTTGCATTAGCATTCGGGTTTGAAAATGAGATCTGCAGCGGTGCTGCGGAAGCAGTCAGACCTGATCAAATCAAAGCAAGCTTCCCAGATCTTAAGAAATAATTGCAAAAAAAATTACATAAATGCAACAGCCCAGGAAAACCTTAAAATCCAGCAGCTAGCAAATATATTGGAGCTTCTGACTGAATGCAGATTAACTCTGGGGTCAAAGAGGAATTGATGCACGTTGCTGCAGCACAGATCAACACATGCGTGGTTTCATCGCACAGCAAAAAAAAAATAAACCTTACTTCGCTTCTCTTTTTAATGCACGAATGGTGCTCAGTTGCAAGGTTTTAAACAGAAAATACTAAAAATCCACAGAGGCGGTTCTGTTAAGCTATTGTTCCATGCTTTGCAGAGAACTTGGTGCTCAATATAGATAGAAGCAGCACGAACCCAGCCGGGGAAGTACTGGTTTGGCGACGAGAAAGCGTGACAAATCACAGCGGTCTATGTAATGTATAGGCTCTACAGGATATGAGATGTATGAAATGGAAGAAAACGTTTTTAAAGTGCAAATTAATCGATGAGCAAATAGTTCTGTATATATACACAAATTGTTAAATGTGATGATGGAATTATTCAACAAAAACTACTGAAGCATTCATAATTCAGCCCTTCATAAAACTGAATCTGAATGGTGTGTAGTCGTTCACTGTCGATTTTTATACAAATGTACTTATACTACATAAATTCGAAATCTGATCAGATGCTTTGAAATGTTTCATTCTGCGCGCGTTAATAATACAATATATAATATGTTTTGTTTGAGACAGACCATGAACTTATTTGATTGCGTTCCGTTATTTTGCATTTTCTCCACTTGTATCTCCTTCCTGATGTACTGTACGCGACATTATTATCGCAACCCCCAAAGTAAGCTAATAGTTAAAGACCATTTCCGCTTTACGATTATAAAGATACCATATTGCAATTCGATGTTATGCAATGTTTGAATATAATAACACACAACTGGATTCCGCTAAAATGTGCTCTCACAGTTCACTGATGCATTACTGCATTTGATGGGATGCAAAGTTATTAACATCTGAAACATTCCGTGTGACAAGGTGTGCGAATCCCCTGTGACGCACGGACTAGCATTCTTCTACATCTTTACCTTCAAGAGAAGTCGCATTTCATACAGTTACGTACTGTAGTTCATACTGTAGCTGTTTACTAAAAACCATGTACAACAAGCCTGTTGTTTATTCGTCCTCTTTCTCAGGAATCAGAGTTCCTTCTTTTTTTCCATTTGTTTTAGAGTTATACAGTAAATTTGCCTGTTCTTTTATAGACAGGACTTTCAGAACCATAGTCAGCTCCTTTGGTCTACAATAAGAAATTACTTAAACTAGAAATCAGTTATCACTCGGCCAGACTATAAATGAAGTCTCTAGGTCACATCTTGTTTTTCTTGGTCATAAAATGTGTCACATCATTATCCAAACATTTCATTTAGAATAACTTATCTTCTAAAAACAACGTCTTTCGTGAACTGCTAAGATTTGTCAGAATGAGATGCCTGTGTTGGGGATAAGGATAGTGATGGAGTGTATAGCAAGGTCAAAGTAGGAAAACAGGAAATGGGCAATATACTGTGTTTATTAAATGTAGCACATGAACTATATCTCCAATTATTGATGTCACAATTAATGTTTGTGTAAGACTTGGTTTAGAGAATACGAAATGCAAATTATTTGTTTCCATCTGAGGTTAAAGTGCCATAATGCCCTTGCTGTTAATCCCCAAAATTGTACCTTAGGGAGGATAGAATAAAAAATGAAGCAGATTCTAGTACAACTGCCATTTATGCCTTGAAAGACTCAGACTTGAAAATGCACTTACATAATAGATACCATATGAAAATGTCTGTTGTGTCAGCCAATCTGCTATTATTTATGCATTTCTATGTTTACTAGCTTACTTAGAAGATGCAGAACAGTATTCTGCAGTAAATATGGGTAAAAGGGGAAAAATAAATACAAATCGCAAGTGCAGGCAATAATAAAATTACGTTAAACCCATAATAAAGGTAAGCACAATAACAATGACACAGAAAGTGCAATCAAAATGGTGCACAAAAACACAAACAAATCAGAAGTCCAAAAAACTATGAAGCAAACAGTACATAGATACTAGAGATGAACAACAGCAATGTAAAAACACATTGGCATGTGTTCCATATTACTTGAGAATAAGTACAACAGGCAAATGTTATTATCCAACTGAGAATTAAAGATATACTTTATAGTGCATACAGTATTAGAGTTATTGAGATTAAAGAAAAAGTAGTTGAGAGCTGAGAAGTTACTGTGAGGTGTTCAGAGACTAAAGAATTCTGAATTCCAGGGGCAGTTTAATTCCAGGTGTGAAGGAGAAGAATGAATTAATAAACAGAGATGGAGTGTACAATAGGTGTAGTGTCAGAAGGAGAGAAACGGGCAGGGAAAGAATGTATATCTTATTAATTGTCATAAATATATATGTAATTTGTAATGTGATTAACTATAAAATGTAATAAATGGCAACAGAATCACAGCACATAAACCTGGTAACATAAAATCAAGATTAATGTTCTAAATGCTGGATCATTCTAACAGTCCTGACTTCTGAAGACACATACTGAGAATATCAGAGTGATGTTTTTGTAGTAGGATATATGACAACCACATGCAGGGATGCAGCTAGTACATCATGACCTCATGCTGTCCCTTTATATATCAGATTCTGGACAGGGTGCAGTGAAATGTGATTCCATTCATCTTGGAATCACAAACCTATTTGTTGTAGGAAGACCAGGATTACTGTATGGTGGTGATCTGTCTGGTGGCCCCCTCAGATATTCAGCAGAGCACAGATCAGGGACATACAGTACACAGCAGCAGTCTCACAAAAAAGTCAGTCCTTGTACAGCATGCAGACAGAACTAGGAAATTGAAATGCCTCAGTGTTGCAGAAGGAATGAAGGGGATGAGGTTACTGAATACTGTCTATGTAGATCCTGACAATGAGATTGTCCTTAATCACCATCGAAAGTGCTATAGATACACTTGCTAGAGATACCTCCCCACACCATAAAATAAAGATCACCCCCAGCATCTGACTGACCAGTACACCTGTTATTGGAAGAGGTGTTAGTGGAGCCAGCAGGGAGTGCTCACCCTGCAGTCTGTGTGGGTCCTAATACCCCAGTATAGTGACAGGGACACCATACTGTAAACAGGCACCGTCCTTCGGATGAGACATAAAACAGAGGTCCTGACTCTCTGTGGTCATTAAAAATCCCAGAGCATTTCTCGAAAAGAGTAGGGGTATAACCTTTTTCCCATTGGCCCTTACCAATCTTGGCCTAATAATAATCCCCTTCTAGTTCTCCTAGTTCTCCTCCCCACTAATAGCTGATGTGTGGTAAGCGTTGTGGCGCACTATGGCTGCCGTCGCATCATCCAGGTGGATGCTGCACATTGGTGGTGGTGGAGGGGAGTCCCCATTACCTGTAAAGTGCTTTGAGTGGAGTGTCCAGAAAAGTGCTATATAAGTGTAAGCAATTATTATTTTTATTATTATTATTATTGGCTTCACATACAGTAGAGTTGTTGACTGAAGCCGATAATGATGTTCAGTGCAGTTGGAGGATTACCCATGGGTCAGAGAGCCTGTTTGTTGTTTCCTTTAATATGAGTCTTATAGTTGTCACACAAATGAGCTTTGCCAATTTTCCTCACTTTGGCCAATGCCTACAGTAAATAACCTGAACCCATTTGATAGTGCCATTCAACCAACTTTCTGTTCAGTGCTTGGTGGAAGTAAGTGTTCCCATCTTACTGTATAAAACATGTATGGAACAAAAATGTTAACACCTGCATCACTGATTTGATATAACTAGAAAATAAGATATTTTAAGATGTCTTACTGTATATGTTTTCAATACATTATTTAATTATCAGAAAATTCCGTATGCCTGTAAAGTGTTGTGGCTACCCCAAGCCTTTCCTAGAAACACAGGGGCTCAAGATACTAGACTTTGAAAAAGATGTTAGCCTGTTGCAGGGCACACACACATAAGCACACATACAGTAAACAATTTAGAGACACATGTTAACCTTGCCATGTTTTCATGAAGTGGATGGAAACTGGAGTGTTTGGAGAGAACCCCACACACAAATACCACACAGGGTGCTAAATCCAGTCTCTGGGCAACACTACTATTCACGACAAACCAATGGCAGTTTTGATTTAGAATTTAAAATGTACATTTCCAGCAATAAGTGGTTTCTTTTGGCTCTTCCCATTGGGACTGAAATGCATTATGCAGTTGAATAAATAGGTTTCATAAATAAGAAATATATTTCATGGCAATGCACAGTAGACCACAGATGTCAAAAATAAATTAACATACTGTAGTTATGGATATCGTTATGCTTCAAAAGAATGAGTAGGAAAGCTTTTGAGAAGATAATAATAGTTCAGCCCAATTATATTAAAGCTGAGCAGCCATCGGCCCTGATATACAGTTCTAGTCAAAATATACAGATATCTCTTTCATACAGAGATACTAATCTAAAACATACCGGTGCTGTGATTAAACAGAATAATTCAGCAAATAGGTGCTGCATGCTGTGTATTTCATGTGCCAAAAATTTTAAGTGCTGTTAGGGAGTGAGACTTAGTCCAGAAGCAAAGAAACAATAGAAATGAGAGAGAAAATTGCTTTCCATTCAGATATTACTAATATTACTATACATTTTCATTTCTTTGTCATGCTTCCACATTATTTTTTTCTATGCCTGGTATGCTACAGATTTGTTTTTTTTAAGTCTCATTAGCATTCAAACTTCTTTTTAAAATGCTTTTGTGGACTTAGTGGAGCACAGATTGGCATTGTTGCATCTATGTTATTGATGGACCATGTTCAATTTGTAATTTTCAGAAAATATAGCCCACTTAAATGTTAAGTTAATTAAAATGTATACTTATCTATCCGAAGTCAGTTATAACTTGGCAGTTATTGTAAGGAGGCAATTTAAAAAATGTCATATGTGTAACGAGATATGTTATGTGCTAAAATGAGATGCAATACCCACAAGGGCACTCTGTTCTCACAAATTCAAAGTCTCATACACATTCTCCTCATTTTTTAAAAATGTACACAAAAACTGTGTATCCCCACATAAGAATAGCCTCCCTGTCACCTCCCACACCCCATATGCTCAATTTTCTTCAGATCTCTCTGGGACACATACAGTATCTGATACAAGGAAATCATTCATATGGTACAGTATTTTCCAAGTGTTGCATTTTAAAGGTAGTACAGTATGAGAATTATAAAGATTAAGGCAGTTGTAAAACCGAATTGCTAAATTGATGTTTTCTGTATTCAGAGGTCTTTCAATACAACAATATTTTACTGTACTCTCAATCTTTAATTACAAGCACACGTCATATTCTCCAAGATGGAAACAATATAATGGGGGTTCAATAGTGAGAGTACATGCCAGACCATTCCTATACTTGGAAACTTTTAAATATATCAGCTTTTAGTGTTCTACTTCACATTGCCTTGCATTACAGATCATAT